GAATGCGAGGTATAAATTAATTTAAATCATCTGTTAATATTTTTAAATTTCTTTTTCTTTTTCATTACAGAATTACATGAACATCGCTTCTCGAATTATCAGTGGAATTATCCATCAGACGGTCCTGTTCCAACAGATTCTCAACTTGTTTTTCAACTATTTACAACCTACTTCAATCATATTCTTTTGCCAGATCCTCGAACTCACGAAGGACCATTTAGTGCACGATATACACTCAAATATTCACAAATTGAACAACTGAATAAAAATGGCAATATATTGTATTTATTTAATATCTAAAGGAATTACTTAATGTTCTTCTTATTTAGAAGGTTCTAAAATGTACAATTCAATCGCTCTTATTCGATATCCAGTTGCTGCACAAGCTGTAATATTGAAGGTATTAGACGAAAATATTGTGCACGATATTCAACCTGTAAGTTTGAACGATTCATTTTTGATTAACAGCAATAATTAATAACAAAATGTACTCTGATGTCTTAGGGCGAATATAATTTGATCGATGCATTATTATTATTTTTTGAACGTATTAATCATCAACAACACGGCAAATTGAGGTAAATAAACATTTTTACATTCTCTCTTGAATTTATTTTAGTCAATTATGTTATTCTTTTAGTGGTGTATGTCTAGGTCCAAATGGCATTGATATATTGCGTACATTGAATGTATAAAACAATTGAAATGATACATTAATATTAATATTATTGACTTATTCGTGTATTTATATTTAATTCTGTTGTCTATTCTTACTAATTTTTGAAATTTTGTATGTTTTTTTGAAAAGAAAAATCGTAAATTTTTCAGACGTATATTAGGAAGTAAAGTAAAAAAAACATCAGAACAAAGAACTATTAATTCAACTATTATCTATCATCCTTTCCTTTCTCTAGAAAAGTATCGGGAAGGTGCTATCCCTATTTAACATGTTTCAACAACTATTTTTTGTCAAAGTGAGATAAAATGATAATACTGTGATATTATGATACGACAACTTTTTGACGAATGAGAAACATTGTTCATATATACAAAATGTAACAACAATGATTATAATGGATTAAAATAAGTCAATATAAAAATGATATTTTATGATAGATTAATAATTAACAAGTTTTTTTCAATTCTCACAGAAAATTGATACAATGCAAATTGTTTTTCTGATAAAATCAAACATAAGGTCAATAATTCCTAAAGTCTTACTATATAATAATAATATTAAAAATATCTTAAAAATCAAACCATTACTTTATCTTTTCTAGTTACATCTTGCTGCAATTTTACTAATGCTTAGTATTGTTCATTCAACTTCAATTGAAAGTATGAGACTTTTATTTTCTTATAATATAAATAAAGTCAATAAGTCATTTTTACAGCAATCTTATTGAACAAGTTACTTCATCTGTCAAAATGAAAGAGAAGACGGTAGTATTTTTCAAATTACTTAAAAGTATAATAGTAATAATAACATAGAACTGATTTTAACCAGATATGTAAAAGAAAGTCATAAAGACTGATACTTTAGATAATAAACATATTATCTCTCGAAGATTTTTCTGATCTTCTTGATTGTCGTTTACCATGATGACTAGACATACAACAAAATCGTCCTAAAAATAATTACAAAAAATTTGCAGGCACTTTTTTTGATAACAATATGTCGGCATGTTTGTGATAAGAAAATTTTTTCTTTTGTTATACTTACGCTTCAACTCTAACGAGCCCGAATCTCCATCAGGAAAATTTAATAAATCATCTAAGAAAAAAAAGATAATCAATTGATACGAAGTGAAGCTGGAATTCTTTTTTTACCTTCAAAACTTGGCTTGGATATTTGATTTGGATCATTGTCAAAGTATTGATCTAATTCACTCTAAAATATATACATCATGATTATATCGCCAAGGTTTACTGTTGTTTGCACTCAGTTGTTTCGTTGGCGCAGACTCTTATGAGTTTAAATATATCGCAAAAGAATCGCATTTAATTAATATTCATTCAAAGTAAACTTGCGCGAGAAGAAATCTAACTAGGTAAAAATTGCATTACGTATTTGAATACATGCAACGTTTGCTTGATTTTTCTATCCAGTGACTCTCTCTATCCCGCTGCTCAATAGACTTAAGCGCGCGTGCCCCGATTGTCGAAAGAAGCATTGTTTTTCTCATACATTCAAAAGGTTTATCTTCAATCCCTGCATCTTAAAATTCTACCCCATGAGTAGTAAATGATGACTCATACTTCGACGAAGAATTCAAAAAACGAAGCACTTTTTGCCAGTGGCGTTAGATCGTCAAGACTTATGAAGAAATTTATATCTAATAATCGTTTCATATGCACTTTCTTCACTAGTCGATAATCAGCTTGGTCTGGTGAAGGTGAATCAACTATGGAGTTTTATTACGGGTGTAGGTAGGTCTCCCCCCTCACGAATTCAATTTTTTTCAAAAATGAAGTAGGCATGTGATTGAGTATCCCAAACTGCCATCTTTCAGAATCCATCTCAATTTGCCAGAAATTCAATGTTTCTGCAGATGTTTCTGCAAAGCCCTTAAATACCACCCTTTTCTAAATTTGAAATTTCGATTAAAATTTTTAACAGACATGGAGCTATGTTGAGCGGAGTGTTCTGATCAAAATGAGATGTCCCGCAGGTTTGCGTTCGCCTTCAGCGTTTTTGATACAGGTTTTGGGAGCGGGTGGAAAGTCAGCTGAGTGACTAAAGTTCGTTTGTATAACGCATTTTTTGAGTAACTGCATGTTTTAAACTAACTGAAGACTGGAAATGAGCTTGACAGAAATTTCCTAAAAATTTTTTGAGTAACTCTTATCCGAATAAAGAGGCGGATTTCCACCCCCTAATCAAAAATGCTGCTCGTCTTGCAAAGTTATACTAGTTTTGCTAAAGGCGCTGAATTATAATAAATGACGTAATGAAGTCATTGCTTAGAATATGGTTTTGACGCAGCAAAATTGCTGCTCCTAAACGATTCATCATGAAACCTTTATTTTTGTTTTTATTTTGAAGCTAAGACATTTATCTAAAGTTTGATTCGTAGCGATGTTTGAATTTCGTTTTCTGTGCAGAGAAAAATAGAAAATACTCCTCCGAGTTTAGGATTATTTTCAGAGTTCTGACTTAAAATACGTTTAGGAAATGAACAGAAGCGAAATCCAAAAGTCGCCACAGACGAAATTTTCGATTTAGGTGTCCACTTTCATTTGAGATCATCCGCAGCTCTCTGCTCCTTCCAACAAAAAAAGCTTTAGTGTTTTTACCAAGAATCCTATTTTGCCCCTTAACAAACCTATAACTCGACAACGCTCCAAGCTTTCGAGTTCGAATTTTTAGCGTAAACTAATTGGACAGTAAACATTAATCACTGTAAGCGCCATCGAAATCGTATGTGAAAGAAAAAGGTTTTTCTGAAGGATGAAAAAACTTAAGAATCGCCTTAAGACGGGATCAAATCTCATTTAAATCTATGTTCTGATTCAAAGATGAAAATTCTGAGCAGCACATACTCAGCTCTAAATCTAATGAAGGAATCAGGACTGAAGTTTCTGACACCAGCAACGTCACATATTTCAGAAATGATTCCGGACGGTTTTTTCAGGTCTGAATCATCAGAAGAAAAAGGTTTTTGTGTATTACAAAGGCTCATTCTAAACTGACAGAAAAATTTAGAATAATACGAAAATGGATTTAAGAAGATCACTATGAGTAGGAAGATATGACTGTTACTGTGGAACACACTCTTTAAGTTCACAGCATCATGTGATTTCCTGAATCAACCTTTCAAACCAAGCTACTTGTCGATTTTTAGAGTTTTCCCGTTTTAAAATAATATGAAATAAGAGCATCGTACTGTAGAACACCAAAGAAAAATCATTCACCTCGTTTATTCACCATTTGTAGATAAAAATTTATATAAAACTATCAGTAGAAAGGGTGGGTGCTAGTAAGATCTTTATGTATTTAACCTTCTTTAAAAGTTCAAAGCACTTGATTGGAGAGAACAGATGAATAATCTGCCTTAACGTATGACATTATTGTTCTTTTATCTCATTCAGAGGAAAATGGATCCGAGAAATCTTCCAACTGACTTAGATCGTCTGAAAATAAAAACCCAATTTTTTTTAAGTACAGATTTTTTTTTTTGTTAGTGACCAATCTTTCGTATTTTTTCTTTTGTTGCTAAAACCTTGAGTTGAGAGCAATCATATTGTTCGTCTCAGAGACATCTTCTAACCCTCTTCAGATGAGACAAGGCCGGACGTTCTATTATACTTTTTTTCTATGCTGCTTTTATCTTCTTCAATTCATATAGAGTCTCTCATCATCGGTTAAACGTCTTTCTTTGAGTGAATGACGAACTTTGTTATTGATGACATTTAATTAGCTATTTCATTCAAAATCTACCTAGAGTGACAACTTGAATAATAATCCGAAGAAATTTCATGATGTTTGTACTACAGGCACTTTTCGAACGAAAGATTTCTACTTTGAATTAACAAATATCAAATTAACAAAGTGAAAAAAGTTTTGACGTAAATAAATATCGATGTTCGCCTGACTTGACCTCTGTTCTCTCTACTGTGGTATCCATGTTTCAAAACTTTGTTAATCTGATATTTATTTTCATCCTATATATGGGATCTTTCGTTTATGAAGACTTCGATCTACATGAACAAAATGACTATAAATATTGATATTAACTCAGACGAATTAACCCTGTTATTTGAAAAGTCTCAGTGATATTGAAATGACAATCAGAGAGTAAAATTCACTTTTAAAATCTACGGTATATTCATCTTACCTGTTCTGGATTAAAATCCCATGTTCGAAATGGATATGATATTGAATTAACGATTAAAACAAATGTAATAAGTGCAATAAAAATTGAGTTCAAGTTACTAACAAAAAATATTCTCATTTTGATGATTCCTTTTCTTCTTGTTCTTTCTGAATAATCCTAATAATATATGTTCGTTTTTTTAAGATCAAATCAATTCTGATTAATTGAAATTCAAATAAGAAAAGAAGAGAAAATATTTTATTTTTCTACCAATAGATGACTAAAATCAAAAATAGAAGAAATGAATGAGAAAGCATGCAAAGAAGAAAACAATATTGATTTTCTGAAAATGTGATCTAGAATAAAAGCAAAAGTAATAATAGATACTGACCCAATTATACTTGGATTATATTTTAACTGATCAATCAAATTACAAATATTTAACTGAAAATTGATATCAGGTTATTAAACTGAAATAAACCGTATTGTTTTCGATACACTAAAGAGTCGGAGTTAACTGATTAGAATAAATTTGAAAAACGTTTCTACTTGAAATAATGTGAATGTTTGAAAAAAACAACAACTATCATATTTAATGCTATCTCAATGACAGAAAGAAGTTCAACTGTACCGTTACAAATAGAATCAGCTTTTCATGAGATATAAGAGATTCTGTTGTCAATCACTAATAGAAAAAGAAAGAAAGAAAGAAAGAAAAAAAGAAATAGATAACAGTAATATCATTTATTAGATTTTATTTCGTATTGTGGAGAAAAAAACTGGAGCTTCAAAGTGATACAAATGTGATCTTAGCTATGATCTAGAGAGAATAATATACTAGAAAAATAAAATATATAATTTTTATATTTTATTTTTCTTGCCTGCTTTTTTCAATTAGTAATACCGATTCAATATAAATGGGTTGAGGGCGTTTATTACTGTAGAAAATAATAGCACGAACGATTCATCTAAAGAATATTTCATATTTTTCTGAATTCTTACTTAGTTATGTACTTTTTAGTCTGTACACCTTCCTATTTTATATTAGTTAAAGGAAACAATACATAGAAGATGAGAAAACTTGAAAATATTAAAAATGTTCTTTCAACTATAAACATCTTTTAGGATTCTAAATAAAATCTTAAAAACAAAATAATTCTATGGGAAATTGAACACAAATTCACTATTTAGTGTAAGAAGATTAAAAGATAGTACTTACACTTATTTTTGTGCCTACAGATGCATGAGACAATCAAAAATCTGTACAAAAATAACTTGAAATATTATACATTCAAATAACTTTGATTATTTACAACACGCACGCATAGTTATGGTAATTCTCTTTTTATCACATTTGTCCAAAATATTAAAAATACAAAGTACATCAATAACCTTTTCAAATATGTTTTCATATGTGGATGGAAGAATTATGTTTAAATTTTATGAGAAGTGAGTACTCAGTAACTTTTACTATCATGATTCATTTCTCATGTATACTTTACCTATGATTGTTAAGTTTTCTAGTTGAGAAGTATTTTTTTTTCTTAAGTTGTTTATTTTTATTTATTACTCAATGACATATATCACAACTGAAAACAAACAATAATGAATCAAAGAAATTTGGAAATAAAAAGTAACATTGCACACCTTTGGAACATCTGTTTCTCTTCAAAAATGATATACATAGACCTTAGGCAATCAAAAGGGGTATCCATATACTTGAAAATTACCACCAGCATTGAACTTCACCCTCAGGAACACATTGATTTATATTCTTATCGAACCGCGCATCTGGTGGACATCCAAAGCGTTGTTTTTTCGAGCAATTTGTAAATACCTTACACATTGAACCACCTTCTGTAGCATAATCGACTCCCCATGGACAGTCAGAACTACTTGATGCAACAGGAATTGCAACTAAAGTTAATAAAAAAACATTTTTCATTTATTGACTATTGAAAAGAAAGAATAAACGGATCTTACATTTCGTTGAACATTTTACATGTTTTTCCTTAACACATTTTTTTTCATCTTCTGAGTATAATAGATTGGATGGACATTTTCGTGTTACTGTAATCTGTTTTCCCGCTGGTGTTGTCAAACACTCATAATAACTCTTACACGCCGTAGAAATATTTGCATAAATTTGTTTTTCTTTAGCTGAAATAGAATGGTGAATATTATTGTTGAACAAAAATTTATATTGAACTTACAATTTAAACAATATGATTTTGCAGTTAAAGTCTGATCTGGTGGTGTAGTAGTACTTGGGCGTGTAGTTGATGGTCTTGAAGACGGACCTCCACCGTTTACAATATCTTTAGCCGTTGTTATTAATGGATTTTTACCCTGACCACATGATTCTCCTGTGAAATCGTCCAAATCCATTGTCCAAAACATTGCACCGCCCAAGTCCATATCCATGACATATTCAGACTACAAAAAGTTTCAATTAGGTTTTCATTTTGTCTTGTCAGACACGAAGAGATTGTCAAGATATTACTTTCTTAAGATGTTACTTTATAAAAAAAGATTCTCAGAAAAAATTAGAGCCATTATATACTGCGATCTTTCTCTAGATGACTTACTGTATGTATATAATTTCTTTCAACTCTTTGCAAATTATATATTGTGCAATTTATCTTATTTCGGATGCAAATGTGCAGGCACTATCGTTATGGAATTATACTAAGGCTAAGTGAATTTTTCCAGTTTATTTTTCAGTGTCATAACAAAAAAAATTCGATGCGGCATCTAAAAAAAAAATTGACATCGGCGATGTGCACCAATGTGCATGTCATGCCGTGTGAGACTAGCATCACCAAAGATCGGTGCGCACCGGCGTCCGGATGATGCCAGGCAATGCCGTCCTTTTACTCCAAAAACGATGCCGCGTCGATATTATTCAATGTCGAATGCAGATACTGTGTCACCAGAATTCGATGCTACATCTACAAAAGAAATCTTAGCAAGACAGTGGAGTTTATTTAGGCAGTAATTATTTCTCATTACATTTGCTTTTACTTAAATTTCGAAGATTCTCAGAAGAGATACAAATTCATATTTCACAATGTAATTTTAATCAATTAAGAAGAATTTCTTTTGAGAAACGAATATTTTGGCAAGAAATTGTGTTTTTCAAAAGAGATACATTATCTCTCATTTCTATATTCCAAATAAACATCAAATTAAATATACGGTAGAAGCAATCGAGATTATCTTAAGCAGCACTTAGTATTTCCGACGTTGAAGTCGAAAAAGATTTTCTTTGAACGATGTAGCAGAAGCGCCTTTTTGAGTTTGCTTTCATATAATATTCATGATAATTTTCTGAAGAGTGAAGCAACATTGCTTTGAGCACTGTTATTTAATACACATTTTGAAACAATGAAATATTTGAATTGTACACCACTGAGGCTTTTATGAGACCCTTTTATCTTGAAGGCTAAGGCAAGTGGAGTGACGCGATTATTTTGAACCAGTTAAAGTGCTTACCGCTTAAAGCAATCTCGATAGCATCTACCGCATATTTAATTTGATGTTTATTTGGAATATAGAAATGAGAGATTCCATATTTATAATTGTATCCATGTCGTTAAAATCGCTCCATTCTGGACGATTACTTGCGATTTGCAATAAAATTGCAAATTAATCACAATTTTGACTATAATTGTCCATAAATTGCGATATATCGGTGATTTTTAACAACTGATGATTAATCGGATTGCATGAAAAATCACCAATTGTAGAAAATTACCGATATATCGTCATTCTTAAAAACATCGCAAATTAATTATGATTAATTAGCGACCCTGGTGATTTTCTGTTTTTTTAATAATGGTCAATTAATCGCGATTAATTGTTGATTTTAAGCCGTTAAATGGTTTTTTGTTATCCACCGTTTTATTCTGCAGTAGAGTAAGTATATAAGAAACATGATTTCAACGAGAATGTTTTCCTTTTCAGATTATCTTTTTAGTTTAGCTTAAAACGGAGTTGTCAAGAGTGTTCTCTGTAGTTTCCTAAGAGCTGACTCATTGTTTCGATCTGAGTCAGCTTTGAATCGAGGAGCTCAGTTAACTGTTAAACTAAAAAACTCGCTGATTAATTCTATTAATCGGTAAAATCGCTAAAAAGTCGCCTATTTATTGACGATTAAGCGCACGATAAATTGGCTGATTAACCGCCGAAAATCGTCAGTTTATTGCCGATTTTGTCTACATAGGTATCTCTTTTAAAAAACACAATTTCTTGCCAAGATATTCGTTTCTCAAAAGAGATACTTCTTTATTGATTAAAAAAGATACATTGTGAAATATGGATTTGTACCTCTTATGAGAACATACAGGGTGCGTAATAATATTTTTCCAGG